TCCCAAATCGATGAGCAAGGCTGGAATCCAGGCTGCTGCACTAGCTGCTGTGTTTATGGGACTACAGAGATGCTGTAAAACATGAGAACCTTCACCTGGGTCAGCCCCAAAGATTGTGCTAGCACAGCACATAGCTAAAGAAGGTTGCTCAGAAAGTTGTCCTGTAAGGGGACCCGTTCCCCAGTCTGTCTTGTCTTCTGACCCGTACAGGTTTGGGGACTGTCTCAACCAGGGCCCCACAGAGGTGTGTGCATCTGATAACCACACATGAACCTGTCATCCACATGCTTCTCTCATCCCTTTCTGACCTCATCCATTACTTTAGGCTTCCGCAATCTCCCTTTGGCGCAATGCATAGTTTGACTGCACTGTCTTAAATGACACTTCTTAGTATTTGGTTTTTAGCCTCTTATTCATTTTTATTAGATGTCACTATGTTGCTACATGAGTAGAAAATAATAGTTGTCTTCTCTTTATCATTCAGCATTTCATAGTCTGTAATTGCATCTCACCTCAGTCATCTCTCTTCTACACTGACATATATATATTCTGGTATATTTGGCCTCCCCTCATCTGTAGTATTCTAGTTTCTTGCAGTCTGATTAAGGCTATAGCAGGTCCAAATCCAGCTGTACTATGGTAAAGCCCCTCTCACATCTGCTGGCAGAGCTGCCCTTGAATGTTCCCTCCTATTTCAGTAGTCATGAGACAGGTAACTGCAGTAGCTTAAATAAGAAGCCTTGGCTCAGTTTGACTGAAACAGTTAAGGAAATGCTCAAAAAAACCAGCTCCACAGTTATATCTGAGGGAACAGGAACTTCTCATGGAGAAAGGTTAATGACCAGTTGGGAGCTTGCTTTTGGGTTGGTAACCTCTTGTACTGGCAGAGCTGTTGGCAGAGAATAAAAAAAATGCGGAGGTGGTGGCTACATAGTCACTTCCCTTCAGCATAAACCTGAGATGGTGCTAAAAGAGTGGCGAAATTCATCAGCTGCTTTTTTATTCTTGTAATTTTAGTTGTTAACTGGATGAGGTCCCTATGAAGTATCTGTGAACACGCTGCCAAAGCGCTGGTTCTCTTGTGAGAGAAGGGACAGGAGTGTATATATATGTATATCTGAACAGCTGCACGACTGAATCAGCTTAAATTGATTTTGAAACCTGAAGTTTGAAACCTTGCAGCTAAGTGGAACAAATACACTTCAGCTTATAGACCACTTCTTTGCCTGGGGTGCTGGGAAAGAAAATGACTTCATACAGCTGTTGTGTTCTTGTGGTAAATTTGGAAAGGCAAAAAGCAAACCACGCATGAGCCTTTGTGCTGCTGCCTGTTGGGATCGATCTATGCCTCCTAATTTTTCTGTTTCTTTCCCAGGAACTCCCTGCAGCAAATTCTGCTCCTGTGTACAGGCATTACAGTCATGGTGCTACTCTCGCTCACAACCGAGTGACCTCTGCGCAGACCTCACGATGCCTCCCAGAGCCACCACAGTGACTCTGAGCTGTTACAAAGCAATAAGGAACACTAATGTTACTTCCTATGTGTGTGTGTGCAGATCTGGCTGCTAGTATGAGAAGCAGGTGAGAAAGAGGTCTGGGTGTGCAAGACTTCATTCCCTGGCTCTCCTATCCCTGTTCTGCTAAAATCCACACATCAGGGCTTCCTTTTGTTGTTGTCGTTTGTTTCTTTTTCGTGGAACAAAAGTTACAGTGAGCAGAAACAAACTGAAGAGCTGCTCCACAGCAAATGGGCAATGTTTCATTCTGTTCATTCTGATGGAACCACACCTCCCAAGCTCTTGTCTGAAAACAACAGAGGCCATTCCTGTAGCTGATGAAGAGGAAGGACTTTTCCTGCCATTCCAAGGGCTGGAGGCAAAACAGGGATGGCAAAGCAACAATAAACTAACAGCTTTAGCCACAACTCCCTGCCCATGAGAAGTTAACGGTGCTATGAGATAGAGGGGAAAGGAGCCTGTCCAACTTGATCTCCAGCTTTTCACTGACATCGCTTGTTCCTAAAGGTAGTGTTAGCCTCAGCAGTCCACCTCTTCGGTCTGTTTTGTGTTTGCTTGTGTTGAAATCGAGCCAAAAGCTTGAGGCGCTTTAGGATAGGTCACTACAATTAAATGGCTCAGCGTGGAGATTACTTGCCTAAGCTCTAACCACTCCCAAAGGCCAGCACAGCCGGTTACCTGGAAAATGGTCAGCAAATGTTTCTTCTCTTGCCATACTACCTGATCACCTGCATCGGGCAGCAAAGCCCTGTCGCTGTTGCGACCGAGCTCCCTCTTGTAACCATGAGCTGAACATGGCTCTGGCCTGCTCTGGAGACCCGGCTCACCCACCGTCTGCCCCATGGCGCATTTGGGAGCTCTCACGAGGCGCAGCGTGTCAGTCCTGCCCGGCAGCCGTACGCTGTCGGGGCAGAGGTCTGGGCGACTGGGGCAATGGCCTGGTCAGCAGCCAATAACTCCCGGTTAGCTTTCCCTTTGTTCAGCATAGACTACTTCAGAGCGTGCTATAACCAAAATTGCAGCCTATTTCTGGGCTTCTTACCTCGCAGTGGAGTTAGTCTGTTGGGGATAAGAAGTAATACTGAGAGCCCTTAAAGGAAGGGCTACAGCAGCAAAGAGTACTGGAGGGAGAGTGAAATGGGAAGAGTGAAACTGCTGGTGAAAAGATGTTAAAGAGTGGGTCTCGAAATGGCAGTGTGCTAAGTAAGGAGAGAAGGGGATAGGAAAGAGGGACGATAAGTATGCTTTAAGAGGAGTTTTCTGTCGTGTGATGCTTGGGATGAAATTTTTGGTGATTTGAGGCCAATGACGATAAGTGACATTTCTAGTGCTTTCCTGCATACTAGCACAGGGATGTTTTGTTGCCACAGAGACACCACAATTACTAGATCATCCCTTCTGCAGAGCTTACCCTCAGTTTGCTTAAGTCTGTGCAAAAACCGGTCGAATTGAGCTGGCAGAGTCATTGGACACAAAACAGGTGCTACAGTGGGAATTGCACTAACTCAGCTCCATCTTGAAACAGCTTCTGTAAACGAGTAAAGTTCTCCAGTCTGCACAGGGCCTCATCGAGAAAGCTCATCCCATGAGAGGGCGTTTTGGGTCAGAGCAGCAAGGCAGGTACGCTGCCCGAAGCAGAGGCATTTACTTCCCTAAGAGATTCCTGAACGGATGGCACAGTTCTTTTTTTGTGACGGCTCCTGTCCTGCTTTTCAGAGAGCGCTGGAGAACTCGCGCTTGCAGTTCTCTCTGCTCAGAAGAGAAATTTTTTTCAGCTTTCTAAATTTTTTTTCAGCTTTCCTTACCCCAGGCTGCTAGTTTTACTGCCACAGCGAGGGAGGATTAGGGCAGATTTTTATTCCTCTTTACAAAGTTGCCTTCCTTTGCCAACTACTCCCTCTACCATTCAGTTGTCACGAAGTCTGAAGTTAGCATCCGCTTTCCTGGAAGTAGCATTAATGGGATTAACCTGCAGGGACGGGGGGAGAATGAGCACTCTCTAGTTCCAGCTTTGGGGGGTTCCCCCTGCCCCAGCCAGGCCCACAGGTAAGCAGATGCTGCAGCAGGGCTCTGGAGGAAGCTCTGCTTTGCACCAAAAGACTTGGCTACTGTTTCTCAAGTTGTCTTTCTCAAACTGAGCCTGACATTTAAGTTGAGGCCCTGCCAGGTGAGTGCCTGTGAGTTGGCATTGTTGCATCAGCACCGAGCCTTGCCAAGACTGACAACCATGGTCAGGATTTTGTGCTCAGCACTCAGGAATGAGAAGTGGATGGTACTAAAGGAAGAATTTCTGACTTGTTTTTCTTGGCTGCTACCACAGGCCTAGACAGTCTGTGGTTCTTGGAAGATACCCTGTAGGAGGGAGGTAGTCTGGGGCTTGTGGGAGGGAAGGGAAGAGGGGCTCCTTAGTTTTGCACTGCATCAGCCCTGGGGCTGAGCCTGGAGAGCCTTGGGAGGAAACGGAGCACCACTCCACCACATCTGTCACTTTTGGAAACGCAGAGAGAATTGTATTTTCTAGCTCTATTTTTTCAGCTGCTCTTAACGCGTTTTTCCCCTTCATCTGTATTGCTCTGCTCTGCATGGAGACAATAGAGATGAAATAAATGTTTTTCCATGTGGATTTGTGTTTTTATTTTTGGTTTGGGTTTTTTTTGTTGTTGTTGTTTTTAAACTATTACTTTTCTTTGAATTACAGAGCAGTATCTCAGGGTCAGTCTAGAGAAGTCTGGGCTCTGTCTTGCCCTCCTTTCTACTTCTCAGGCTTTCACAGTTGAAATAAAAGGTTCTGATCTGGTTTCCTAATGCTGCCGTGGCGCTGTGGGCCAGGAACGGTGTGGTCTGATCATAATTCCTGGCTGCTGGTCTGTGTTCCCTGAATAGCATTACCAGGCAAGTTGCTCCTCTCTGAGGGGAGAGCTTGCCTTATAACTGACTATCTGGGGAGTTTTGCAACCATACTTGGTTGTGATCAGTTATTTTTTTTTAATCTAAATAAATCGAGGTGTGTCTGGGTATCAATTACCACTAAGCTGCTCACCTGCCATGTGGCACAAAGGCACACTCACCCAGTGTCGTATGTAGGAATGGCCCAGAAAAGGACTAATGGGATTTTCTCTACCCTTCAAATACACAGGCTCAGAGTATGTCTTAACCCACTGGTCATTTGAAAGATTTTTATCCTGTGAATACTGGGTCGTACATGGCCCTTAGTTCTGACCAGAAGCCTTCCTTAAGAAGAAGGAAAATCGTCACCTGAGAGATGGAAAGAGAGGAAGGCAGATAGGTGATCAAGGGCATGATTTCATGGTCTGGTGACTTCACCAGCAAAGTCCCGTTTGGAGTCTCTGTCCTTGGCTTTGCCCTGCTGGTACTCTGGTACTGCTGCCTGGGGGTGCCCTTTTTCCTTCTCAAAAGAAATCAAAAATAACAAGGATTAATCAGCTGCCTGGTTCACAGGCTCCACAAAGAGTGGCTCTGGCCCAACTGCAGTCGCACTGAGGGCAGAACAACTGGAAGGAATCCCGTATGTGGGAACTTCCCAGGGCAGTGGTTCTGCCGAAGCCCCAGCCCTCTGAAACTATAGCCTGAGGAACTGATGCAGAGAGTAGGGTGCTCTGTTAATATAAAAAAAAAGTGTTGCTTATGAGGTGGTGACAGTAGAACACGATTAATTAGTAAAGATCCATTCCGACAGGCTGCTTTGGATAACTTGGTGCGTTCATTGGAACAACATGCAGATTTAAGAACAGTGAATATTCAGATCTTTCCGGGAAAGCCCTGTTGGAATTGAAGGATTTTCCCATGTTATTTAGGATAGTGATTGTATTGGAAAATGATTTTTCATTCTTCATGTGGAAGACTGAATTTAGCGGGTGGGTGTAAAGATTCTTTACACCTACACAAGTGCCTTCCAGGCAGACCACCTGAAAGGGCAGTGGCTGCAGTGGCCCTTTCAGGTGGTCTGCCTGGAAGGCACTTGTGTGCAGCCGCACGCATGGCAATCCCATCTGTCCGGTGCGAGCTGCTAAGGAGGATTGTGCTGAAACGTGGGTAAATAAGCAAGCGTTCCCAGTGGCTGCTGAGTGCCTCCCCTGGGCAGCATGCTTGGTCCAGGGGAGAGGTGCTGGGGACCCCAAGTTGTGCTCGGCTTGGCCAAGGGAGGCAAGAAGTGAGGAGGTTTGGGCGGCAGGATCTGAATCCTTGACAGTTGAACAGTTGCTCCTGGGAAACAACGTTAAGTGCTTTTAACAGCTGAAACTAAGGACCGTTTTTTGTTCTTTAGGCTTTCTGTATTACCAGATCGTTTTAGCGGGAGGCTGTAACTGAGAAGCCGATGCCCTAACCTGTCGCTGGCCGCACTGCAGCCGGAGGCACTGGGCCCGCAGAGCAAGCGGGATCAGCAGGGATTTTGTGCTGCATTTAAGGAATGGCTGGGATCTAGCCCAGTGCTCGCCGTGTCAAACGGGCTGACGTTCTGCAGCTGCCCAGGCTGCCCAGGGAGGCTGTGCAGTCT